GGTCCATCTACAGGGAAGTGTGTTCCACAACAGAACCCAGTGAGTGTGCACAGACAGGTTGACTGGGGTTTATACACCGCTACAGTCAAGGGTGCATGATACACCAGGGTCCTACACAATAGTCCCTGTGCTGCTCTGAGGAGCATGCCCTTTGGACTCCAGGGGGTCAGATAGCTGGTGGAGGTCTACAGAAAATCATCTGTAAGTAGATCAGTATCTTTTCAGTCAACTGTGGAAGACTTTGTCTATGCGCCCAGAGCTGAGCATTCACAGATTCATCATAGAATTAAAGTGATTTCAGAGACTCTGTAGACCAACTTGCTGGTTGTACAGGTTCTCAGGGCCACCCAAAAGGCCATGTGGGACAACTCAGACATAGACATCTCACCTTCTCCCTCTGCTCACACCACCAGGATAGAATCAACAGTTCTAAGTCCTGATTTGTTTTGGAAGTCTCAAGACTTTTTACATTGGCTGTCCATCATCATTTTGCCATTTCAGGCTCAAGATGGTGGTGGTGGTGGTTATGTGCCGTGGAGTCGGTTCCAACTCATATCAACCCTGTACAGGGTTTCCAAGCCTGTAAATCTTTACAGGTGCAGAAAGCCTCATATTTCTCCCATGGAACAGCTAGTAGTTTTGAACTGCTGACTTTAAGGTTCACAGCCCAATTCATAACCACCACGCTACCAGAGCTCCTGGCATGGTGCTGTGGGCTAATGCGTAAGACTACAAGGTCATTTGAACTGCTAGGTTGGTGGCTCAATCTCACCAACTGCTCCTTGGAAACCCTATACAGGGTCACTATGGATCAGAATCAACTCTACGGCACTTAACAACAACAGGCTCAAGATAGCTGCACTTTTTTGGCCTCTCCCTGCTGCAAATGGCTCTCCCTGTTGACCTCTGTATTTATATTTCCAACCTGTGTTCTCTTGAGTTTCTTTCTGCTTGTCCACTCCCCATCTGTTTAAAGGCCTGAAATTTCTGCTTTATACTGTTTGTTTTTGTTTTTTCATTTCTAACCCAGGCTATTTAATTCAGGTCTTATGGCCACTTAGACTATTCTTTCTGTGTTCACCTGCCATTACATTTTTTACCTGCTATTTCCCTGCTCTAACAATCGTGCTCCACTTGAGACCTCCTAAATCAGAATGTGTGTTTTAGTAAGATACTTGGGTAATATTTATGCACATTGAATCTAAGATGCCCTATGATATGTGTCTAAGTTCTTTGCCAAATATTTCACATGTATTACCTCATTTAATCTTTAAAATCCTATATTATCTCTCAGTAACAGGAAAATTGAAGCTTAGCAAAAGTAAGAAAAGTGCCTGTGGTCACATGCTAAAGTTTATGGTGTTGTGAGGAAAATTAATGAGGGAACAAAAATTAGCCTGGGGATCTGGACTTGGAGGAAGTCAAGCTGAATTCTGAGTAAGAATTTTGGGATGGACTATTCCAGAGAGATAAAACATCGTGTGCAAAGACCCTAGCAGAAAAGAATTAGGAATGTTCCCAGAACAGAGGGAAGGGCAGTATGGATGCAGGATAGGGGCCAGCAGGATAGGACAGTGACATCCTATGACTTGCTCAGGAAGTTAGCCACAGGGAGCACTGGAGGTTTTAACGATGTGAGAAGTGTGAGCAGAGTTATAAAGGACTGTGCAGACACTACAAGAACGGAATGAAGAGGGGCCAGAGTGAGAGCAACAGGTTAGGTGGACATGGTTGAACTAGGATGGGGAGAGTAAATAGAAATGAGGGGAAATTGATAAGTTTGAGGTGCTGTTTGAAAAAAGAACTCATAGGCCTTGGACCACAACTTACTAAACATCTTTAATGCATCAGTGTCTTCTACATGGAGACTGAATAGAAGCATCACCGTCCATCTCTGCTTTCTGCCTTCCTTCCTCCCTCCCCTTCCCCCTTTCCCTCTGTCTCTTCTTCCTTCCTCCCCTCCCTTACTCCTTCCCTCGTTCCTTCCAGGAATACGGGTTTAAGATCAGAGATAGACAATGTGCTAAGAATCACAACTTTTGATTCCTCAATTTAGGATAAACAATCTGATAAAGATCAAGGGCTGTCTTTTCTTTATTTTTCTAAAAACTTTACATAAAATCCTAATACTCTAAAGGTAACCTCATGTTCTTAGCCCATCTTGTCTCTTTTCTATCTCCACTGGATTAAAAATAAAAACTTCTCATTTTATAAATATTTTTAAGAGTCTAATGGACATTCTAAGGAGCTCTGGTAGCGTCGTGGTTACAAATCAGGCTGTTAACCTCAAGGTCAGCAGTTCGAAACTACCAGCGGTTCCGTGGGAGAAAGATGAGGCTTTCTGCTCCCATAAAGATTTACAGTCTCAAAAACCCTCTTCAGGGTCACTATAAGTCGGAACCGACTCCACGGTACTTAACAATAACAACAATAATGGAGATACTAACTAACCTTGAACCACAGAAAGATGGCTTACAACCTACACATTTTTGCTTAGTTTTTCCTCCTCTAGAAACAAAAGGTTGGACGTCTGAATCCACCTAGCAGCTACACACACACACACACACACACACACACACACACAATGGTAATCTGCTTCCATAAAGATTACAGTCAAGCAAACTCTATGGGGCAGTTCTGCTCTGTCACATGGAGTTGCTATGAGTTGGAATGACAGAAGGATTTGCCATATTGTCTTGGAGATAAGCACCAGATTCTTGATTGAGATTTACTATGATGCTACCATTTGATTTCACTTGTATTCTCATTTCTCATTTACAGGTGATTTCAAAATGCACATGCTGCTGTTCTTGTAGTTAAGTGCCATCAAGTCAGTTTTGACCCATAGCAACCCTGTATAGGGTTTCTGAGGAGCGGATGGTAGGTTTGAACCACTGGCCTTGAAATCAAACCAACTTTGCAGTCCAGTGCATTAGCCCACAGTGCCACACCAGGCCCCCTACATGGCATTATAGGGTAATGGGACATTTATAGATTCAAATATGGAGTAGAGGTTTGGGGGTCACCAGTTTTATGTGTGACCTTTACATTTGTGAAGCCTGGGCCCTGGGGAAGTATGTGACTTGCACGAGGTCTCACAATGAGCTGGTGAGGTACCCAGAGTCAGAGTGTCAGAAAGCATCCTGACACTCATGGCTTTGCACCATTAAGCACAGTCATCCATACCATTAAACACAGTCATATCACTGTATGGATTTCTCTTCTGTTTCAGTACAAACACTCCACTTTCTCTTTCTTCCCATTTGCTTTTATTTTTGCCATCTGGGAACCACACCTCCATGCATTTTTTTTTCCTACCATTTCCTCAAACTTCATGGACCAAACTTCGTGGACCCAAGATATTATAGTTGTGAAACCAGTGTTGGGCTAGGAGTCAGTGAATAAATGGGTCACTGCTTATCAGTACAATCTCAACACCCCCCCCCCAATAATACACATGAAAAAATAACCATTAAGCATAAACTCACAATTTTTTGCTATAAAAAGTTATTAAAACATTGTAGAGATTTCCCAGACCAATTAGATTAAGTTTTAAGTTAGAACATGGCTTAAGACATGAAAGCATCTTAAGCCATGTGTATGCATCCAAAAGGAGTCAGAGCAAGGCTCTGCTGAGATTGAAACAAAGCAAGCACATTACGGTATGTTAACTACTGAACACAATTTACTTAGAAACAAGATTGACAGAATATCAGAAAAATTTTCATTTAGAAAATAGTTGCCTATACATCATCCATCCATCCATCTTCCATTATACCTATTCATCTGTTTTTCTAATGCCTTATTCTAGAAATGATTTGAGGCAGCGGGCCCTCGGAAAAAAGCAAGACAGTTTTGTTAAATGGAATAGTCTTACTGATGAAGTTAAAAACAAAAGACCAAAACACAAAATAGTAATCTGACAATAATATTTAGCTTATGAAACTTAAGAGTCTATAAACCATATACTGTTAAATAATGACATCTTCTCTACCCCCATATGATTCTTATATCAAATACCAGGGGGTTTAAAAAGTTCATGGAAAAATTCCATTGTCTTTTTTTTCTTTAATGTTTTATTATGAATTATGTGATCGTTTACTTGGGAGAACATTAGTTTTACATTCATCCTATCAGATATTGTTTCATTGCCATGATTACAATCCCCTCCATGCATTATCAACCAGCCAAAGGGTATACCCTGCGAGCCTGTCCCCCAGTCGTCAGCACACAGCCCCTCTGCTCCATCTCTCCACGTCATCATCTTTGCCTCCATCTCTGGCATTACTGTTTCTCTGAGTAGGGTCCCGCTCTCCACTCTTCTTCCTTGATGGTCCCAGGGACCTCCACTCCTGGTTCATTATCTTTTTTTTTTTTTTAATGTTTTATAGTGAATTATGTGATAGTTTAAATAGGAGAACATTAGCTTTACATTCATCCTATAGTATATCGATTCATTGCCATGGTTACAATCCCCTCCATGCATCATCAACCAACCAAAGGGTATACCCTGCAAGCCTGCCCCCCCGGTCTTCAGCACACAGCCCCTCTCCCTCTCTGGGTCTAAAGTTCCATTATCTTTTAATTCCATTTTCCACAAACTTTTCGAAGCCTCTTGCTATTATGGTAATTCCTACTATTTCCTTTGTGTGTGTGGTTCACATACACATTTATTGCTTTTTATAATTTTTAAAACTTATTATAATAGCCAGAAAGCATTTGTTGACTCTACTACCATATTGACTAACCTTAAAGTCATCAATACACCTTTTTCATACTTAGTGTATAATTTAAAGGCAAAACAGAATTGTCTCTCTAGAGGTTAGCCATGACAAGTAAAGATGAAAGTATGCAACACCCACAAATCCGTGTGTACAACAGCAGACACGTTACAAAGGCAGCTCCAGATCAACCAAGGGCATTACATAGCTCCTTGGATTGTGACAAAAAGAGTCAGTGAATCTTTCCCCCAATACAGAAACCAAATTGCAAGCCCTTACCTTGTAGGGCCTGTAAGCTATGAGTCTGTACGATAATGCAGAGCTGCAGGACCAGCTGGGGAGCACTTTCCAGAAAGGTGGCTAGCAAATGCAGCATACTCACATCTGCATACTCATACACCATTTTCCAGTAAAACCTCCATCTGTCATTCTCCCCACTTTGTCGGCTTCGAATACCTAAGTATATTGTATGGAAATATCTAGAAAGAAAACAGAGAAGAAAAAAGAGATGAGTGATCATTTATAATTCAAATACCAGGGTCCTCTTCCCTTTAAGTCACCATATGCAAACACGCCCAAGAAACAATACCTTGGTGACTTATAACTGAAGACACAAAGTCACTGTAAGTTTAGTACTTAGCATTCCATTGAATTGCATTATGAAGAAGAGTAGGGTAAAATATAGCTGCAAACTCAGATACAGCTAGGATTTGCAACTTTGAATGTCTACACACATCCTTTCTGGTCATTTCCTCTGTGTGCTCAACTATATTCACGAGCTGAATGAAGTAATAAAATGTATGTGTTTATAAATCCTCCTAATGTCTTTTAAGAGTCCTGGGATGTCACTGCAGGATAATGCACTGGACTGCAAGAATGAATTTCATTACCATCAGATAAGAAGAGCCAGAAGTGAAGTTGTAGTTGTTAAGTGCCATCAAGTTGGTTTAAACCTAAGATCCCTTAACACTGAGTCTCTTCAACCCAGAGACAGAAAGCTGTGATGGTAGAGGAGGGACAGAGGAGTCACAGCAACAGAACAAGGAGTCAAAGTATGAGGCAGAGTGATGGGTTTCCTAGCCCATGGAACAAGTAAAGATGAGTGACTTTGAACAGCAGGCTTGCTTGCAGAGTAGGGTACATCCAGGCATTTAATTGGAGGAGCTAGGTTCATGGACCCATGGAGCTAGAGCCGAGTGCCTTCAAGTTGAGGCTTATGGTGGAGTGGTATACTCTGGGCATTTATCAACCCTAAAAGAGTTTTGTCATATTGCTGGAGCAGGCCAGAGGCCAGGCCAGAGAGGGGCCTGTTTGTGAGTACAGCAGAGGTGAGGCTTTGCCACCGAAGTAACTGTGCCCTGCACATTTCTGATCCTGAACTGTAACGTGTTAACTTCCCTAACAAACCCCCTAACTGTGAATATGGTGTCTGAGTTCTACTTGGCCATTGCAATGTATTATTGAATCTAACTAAATAGAGCGGGCTCTGAGAGGGATGGTTGATACCATCATTTTTTGTACTTGCCAAAGACTTTTTCCCAACCTGTAAATCTCACTGGTAAAGTCTTTTGATGAGAATAAGTACTTAATTTTTACAAGGTTCCAGTTGTCTCATTTATCTTCTGTCATTCCTGCATTTTTAGTTTTGTTTGATAAACTGTGTATGCCAAAAATTAGGTTCCCTATTTTGTCCCTATGTTATCTTTCAGAAATTTTATAGTTTTAACTGTAACATTTAGGATTCTGATCCATTATGAGTTAGTTTTTGTGTATGATACAAGATATGGATTCTGATTCATTTTTTCTGCATAGCCAGTTTGCCAGCACCATTTTTATAATTACATGATTGGGTGAAAGCTTATAGAGCAAACTGGTTTTTTATTGACTAATTCATACACATTTTTCATTATTTCTTTCATCTTACTTTTTTATTGTAACTTCATATATTTTTTTAAAAGCTTTTATTGTGCATTAAGTGATAGTTTAATGGGAGAACATCAGTTTCGCACTCATCTATCATATTTCGCATCATTGCGATGACTACAATCCCCTCCATGCATCACCATTCAACAGTATTTGCTTGTATTCCCTCTGCTGTGATTTTTTTTTTTTTTTTTTTTTGATGTACACAAAAACACTCGGGGATATATAATCATCTAAACAATCCAAGAGCACATTCTGCAACCCTGCCTATTGGCCGCCAGCATACAGCCTTTCTCTTTCTATGAGTCTAGAGCTCTCAGTTGCTCTGTCTCTCAATGTCATCATCTTTGCTTCCATCTCTGGTATCGCTACTTCTCTGGATAGGGCACCACATTCCACTCATGCTCTTCTTCCCTGATGGCCCTAGGGTCCTCTGTTCCTGGACTGTAAGATTAACTACTCCCCACTTTATATTACAGAACTTCTACCTTTACAGTTGTGATGATCACAATTAGTCATGATAACAATTGCTCACTATTGTAATTCATACACTTTTGAGTTGTGACATTGATTGCTATCTCCATGATGTAACAGTACTTTTCCCACTTGAAGCTCAAGAAATCACATGACATATTGCAATGGGCAAATCTGCTGCAAAAGAGATCTTTAAAGTGTTATAAATTTCAAGAGGGAACCTAGAGCCAGGGGGCCTGGAGGAAGGCAGAATCTCCAGTGAGTAGTATCCAATCTGTCTAGGCGGAGCTGATGAAATGGAAAGCAGATGGGTCTCTTGTGATACAATAGTGAATAATTGTTATCAGGACTGATTGTGAGGGTTGGAAATGTAAAGGTAGACGTTTTATAGCAAGGAGGGGAGTGATTAACTTTCCAGTCTAGGAGTGGAGGTCCCTAGGACCATCAACGGAGAAGAGCGGAGAGTGGGACCCTACCCAGAGAAGCAGTGATGTCTGAGATGGAGGCAGAGACGATGACGTGGAGCAATGGAGCAGCTGGGGACGTTAGATCCAGAGAGGGAGAGTGACTGTGTGCTGAAGACTGGGGCGGAGGGATGGGGGGAGTGTAGGGGGCAGGCTTACAGGGTATACCCTTTGTTTGGTTGATGATGCATGGAGGGGATTGTAACCATGGCAATGAAATGATATACGATAGAATGAATGTAAAACTAATGTTATCCCATGTAAACTAGCATATAATTCACAATAAAAACATTTAAAAAAAAAGTATTATAGAGCAAATATGTCACTTTCAGAATCAAGGTGCTCCTGACCCAAGCTATAGCATTTTCAATAGCCTAATATGTATATGTATTGGAGTACTGGTGTGTACAGATATGACACTGGATAAGCACTGGACTGCTAAGCACAGAACCAGAAGTTCAAACCTACTAGCTGCTTCTTAGAAACCATATACAAGGTCACTATGAATCAGAACAGACTCAATGGCATTCAACCACAACAATATGTATATGAAAGCGGGACAATAAATAAGGAAGACGGGGGGTGGGGTGGGAAGAATTGATATATTTGAGTTATGTTGTTTGCAAAGAATATTGACTATACTCTGGATAGCCAGAAGAATAAACAAAAATATTTTGGGAGATGTACAGACAGAATGTTTTCATCTCATGAACTTTGGACACACTATAAGGAGGGAGCAGTCCCTGGAGAAGTACATCATGCTTAGCAAAGTAGAGGGTCAATGATAAAGAGGAATTATAATATTTATAATTATAGATGGATTGGTACAGTGGCTGTAACAGTGGGCTCAAACATAGTTCCAATTCCAATGATGGTGCAGGATTGTCGGGTAAGTGCTTCATTCTGTTTTATATAGGGACACTCTGAGTCAGAACTGACTCGATGGCACTTAACAACTTCAGCAACAATCTTCCCTTCCCTTCCATATATTCTATAATGGACTGTGTTCTGGAACTGTGTTTCCTGAATTTACAACCTCACTATCTTTCCTTGGTGTGGCACTGTGGGTTAGCGCGCTGGACTGCAAGGTCAGTTTGAATAGCAAGGTTGGTGGTTCAAGCTCACTAGCCGCTCCTTATGAGTTGGAACTGACACGATGGCACTTAACAAAACAACATCTTTTGATGTGACTATTATAATATTGTCCTACTTGGTCTTTCTGACCTCAGTAAGCAGTATGAGGGGGCTTCAAAAAGTTCATGGAAAAAATTCCATTATCTTTTAAATCTATTTTTCCATGAACTTTTTGACTCCCCCTCATATAGTCATGTTGTTGAGAGAAAGTTCTGCTAAAAGGGATCCTGGATAGAGTGGGAGAAAATGTAGAACAAAACTCAAAATTAGTATAAGAAAACAAAAACTGGACTTATTGGTCAGAAAGAGGCTGGAGGAACCTGAGAATATGACTCTTGATCACCCTTCAGGTCTGGAAAGGAACTCACTCTGGTGGCCCAATTTTCAGCTAAGCAATAGATATAGAGAGCGGACAACACTAGTAAGGTAAGTTCACCAGGAATTTTCAGTCATTCAAAATCAAAACGGCCACATTTTCCTCAAGACAAAGTAAAGAAGGGATGAGAAGGTGGGTGAATGGAAACAGGAAGCATAGGGAGGAGGCAGGATAACTGTTGTTGCATGGAGGGGATTGCAGTCATTGAGACGAAACAGTGTTTGATTTGTTGAATGTAAAACTGATGATGTCATCTACAAGCCTTCACTCAATTCACAAAAAAGATTTTAAAAAAAGAGCTCTTAAATCTGATTTTTTGGGTTTCTGTTTTGGTTCTGTAACCTACTAACAGCATATTAGGATTAACATTTTTCTGCCTCAGTACTTCCATCTCTAAAGGGGGGAAATAATAGTATAAATCATACAGGCTGATATGAGACTTAAATGAGATCATCAAAGCAAAGAGCTTTGCACAGAGCCCAGTAAATAGTAAGCATTCAATAAACACTGTTCTTAGTATTAATCAATCTTGAACTCTCTAATGTATTCTTCCTATTCCTCCCAGAGTAATCTCTTACATAAACTTAATAGAATCTCTGCTTTCTTAAAAACCTCAATGATTTACTACTGCCTGGAAGATAAACAGTAAACTCAAACAATATAAATAAAGATATTTCAGACTTTTAGTTGTACCTTTCTAACCTAACCTTTGGTCCCCTGCCCTGTACCTACCTCTCTGGCCTGTACCCTATTTCTAACCTCATCAAAGTACTTGCTGCTGTTTGGATCTGTATTCACTCCTCAGTACCTTTGCTCTTGTGGTTCCCTTGATCTGGAATACCTCTCTATATGTCTTGTCTTTATCATTTCATAAGAACGAAATATTCTCTTTATGAATCTTCTTGCTCACCTTCTCTTCCCACCCAGTAGAAATCGCCATTCTATTCTTTGTGTTGCAACTATTCCTAATGAAATCTTGACCATAAAAACAAACATTATTTCTGCATTTATTCATTTGTAAGTTCAACCCATATTCTCCAATATAAGCTCCCAAAAGGAAAAGAATATCTTTTTCTATGAGCACATTTAGTATTTATAATTTTTTACT